CATGTATAATCCCTGGCATGTTCAAAGGGTTCTGATGAACTCTGGTTCTTCTGAGTCATTCGGGATCCTTCATGTCAAACCCTTACATGGCCTCCGGATAAGCTATAGTTATTTTTTTGGCCTACAGTGGTTTAGGAACAATTTCTGGATATTTATTCCACTCCAGTGCTCGAGGTCATGGCTCAGAAGAGAAACGAGTACAGTACTGTCATGCTGAATGTATGAGCTAATAGGGCTCTCAAGATAGCAAAGGAGCATACTGCCCGAGATACATGCGCCGAGAATATGCTTCACTTTTCCACTTCACCTCATTCTGCCCACAGTTCTGATCAGTCATTATGCATGGTGGACAGCGATACAGCCAAGAGAAATCTGCCCTGGGCACTGCATCAGCCAACAGTCCCGCCTTAGGCATTTGTCTAACTGTCGACTCTGTTTTTCTGCAGTCATTTAGATATTCAGGTTTAATTAAGGTACCTCTGTCATTAACACGGTATTTCATTTCCTAAGCTCTCAATCTCGCAACACTTTCTGCTTCCCTCAGACTCTGGCACCCACTCCAAAACACAAACACTCCCACCCGACTGCCTCTGAAGAAACGTTGTCACAGTTCCCTGGCCAAACTTTTATTTAGTATTCATCATAACCAAGACACCTGCTTGGTTGTTTTCCTTTCCTGGGAACTCTGGGGAAATGATATCTGTTGGATTGGAGCCACATGTTAGGGTTGATGAAACTGCCGAAGAGGAAAAGCAGGATCTACTATCTCTTGACATGAATCATCAATATAAAATATGACGTCCCTTCAGCAATATGAGATGCAAAGAAATATCAGCTGCAAGCTCTTGTCATTTTCTGACAAGTTATTCATAACTGAGGAAATGCATAAACATATATACATGCTTATGATTGCCAGTGTTTCCATAAAATGCAGCTGCTGCATGAGTTAATCATAAATACATGTTTTTCCCCCTTCTATACCCCAGTGTAACATGTGTGATGTCCTGGGACTGCTAATGACATGCAACACTTGCTTTATTCACAAGATGGTGCAATAAGTGCACTTACTTACCCACTAACTGACTCACTTTTCCAAACCTTCCCCTTTTAGTGAGTGCAACAGTGAAACGATATTTGCCTCTCGACCGTGTCACATTTCTCAGCATAGGGATTCGTGTTTTTCATGCTATATAAATCATCCAAGTAAACAGGTCAGATTAGAGTTTTTGCTCAGGCGAAAAAGCGTATTTTCAGTCAAAAGCAGATCTCACAGTCTATTAGACTGAGCTGGATCTAAAGCCAGAGCCCAAGGAAGTTTGGCAGACACAGAGGTTTAGAGAGCACACCTAAACACGCTCGGTTTAATTTGGCCTCTAATCACAGTCCTCTCGACTGACTGAGTTAGAACAAGGAGATAATGCAGAACGGAACAAAGGACCGGCAGATCGAACAGGAGTTGAAATCCTCAAACCGCTGATCCTGTCCTTGACAGAATCTGATCAAAGTCACAGTGAGAGAAAAATCACATATTACTGCACAGTATATCTGCAAGGGACAAATGATTCATTTCATAAACTACAATTCAGGTGGTGACAATTCTGGCATTAAAAACTCAGTGTCTTGTGTTTATTATATTCTTGAAAAACGCTTCTGGCCCAGTCCACCACCCACCCACACACACACACACACACACACACACACACACACCATTGCTGCATCACCGTACAAATGAGCAACCGACCGGCATCACATTTCAGTTATCAAAACTACACTCCCTCGCAAACAAAGCACTATTATTGCTCTACAGTGTTACTATTTCAATATTTTGCATATCACTTCTTCACTATAGACATTCTGTTGGATATCTCGCAAGTTAGTTCAGCCCGAGGCTCATCTTTCTCTGTTGTTGCAACTCTTCTGTTCGCCAATGGAGGTCGATAAAGATTAAAGATGATTCGATGCCACTTTAATACCATGTTATGAAGAGTGAGAGCAGAGGACAACTGTAATCCCTGTCTGCACATCAAAGACTGGCCCGGTATCTGGCCTGCTATTAACAGAGTGGCCGGATGCCACCTGCCCAGATGTTTGGCATGTGGACTCTCGTTCTGCCAAATGGGAATCATGAGACCACAGGACTCCAGGAAGCATCGCAGGCTCTCAAACTTCAAGGACAAGCATGCGGGCAAATGTTTAAAACATTTCTTAAGCTTTTTTTCTATATTAATCCATCACTACTTTGATGTTTGTAATATATGTAAGCAGTTTAATGACCATTCAGAGGTTTCATAAAACATTTTTCCAAAGATCAATTTCACACCTTGCTAACAAGGTTATTGCATTTGGTTCAGACACCTTTAGAAGTTAATGACATAGCTGCATCACTTTTAAATGTTAATGTTCTTTGAATATAACAGGCACTTTTGATATCCTGCATCAGAGGCAGCGCAGCTCAGTGTGGATTAGAGAGTTGATGTTGGGTTCTGCTTACCCCACAGTCTGACAGTCCCAGGCTGTAGCCCGGGCTCTGACTGTCAGCTAAAGAACTTGCCTGTGATAGGGCCTCAACATATTGGAAGGCTCCCTGTGGTTACAGCCCTGACTGTCAATGTGCATTTGGTCTGCTTCGAGTTTACCCACACTGAAGCTGTTTGTTTTTATTTACAGCCAAATCCTTAGTGAGTCCGTGGTGGAGGTCGAGATGATTGTTGTGAACAACTACTGAAACACATTTCTCACTGTCACAAGAATAGAGACAAAGACCAACATAAATGTTACGTTCAACCACACATAGTGGTCAGGCCATCTTTATAATGACAGTACTGTTACCTCAACAACTGATGTGCAACAATGTGAGACATAAAAGGTTAATGCATGTAAAGATCCAATGCCACATCCTTAAAAGGACAAATTATGAATCCTTAAATTGTCAGTCGATCAATTTGAGATCCAGACTGAAATATCTGAGCATAACATTTTGTAAAGAGATTCATGGTTTCCAGATGATTCATCTCTAATAGACGAAATATGGGGAAGCAGTGTTCAGTGTTATTATTCTATTCTACACTGTAAAATGTTTGGCTGTACAATTATAGTAAATTACTGGTTACTAGTTGCATGTATTTCACAGTAATTGACTGTAAATATTTCACAGTAATTGACTGTAAATATTTCACAGTAATTTACTGTAGATATTTTACAGTAAATTAGAATAAAAGTACAACTAAATACTGTGACTTTACAGTTTCCATGCCCATTGAATTACTGTGATATAGCAGTACAGAGCTGTGGTATTATGGTACCTTGCTGTACATCAATTACAGTAATTACCTGTATTTTCACACTTTTACTGTAGAAGTAATGCAACACAGTAGCCAGTAATTTACTGTAAATATAAAAATGTAAATAATATGATAATATATTGTAAATTTGACTAGTTAACTGGGATTTTACCATAACTACACAATTGAATCTGCTCAATCAACAAAGAAAAAGCCCATTTAAACTTTTTATTACTCCATTGAAGTGCAAAGTGCATTTCACAGTGTATTGGACATGTTGTTACGGCCCCAACCTCTACTATGCGGTAGTTGCTCATGCAACATGAAAGAATACACGCAATAACCGGTACCTGGTAACGAGCATTTATTGATAATCAGCCGTTTGCTCACACAAGCGAAACGGGAAACAAAAAGAGGTCTGGAGGACGGCCAAAACGAACAAACAGAAGGAGGGAACCTGAGCCAGCCACACCACGTACCGTAGGACCCAGAGCTCCCCCCCCCTAACCAGAAATCAAATATAAACCCTATGGGAAACAAAATAAAGCCGCGAAAACTGGACTAACAAGTCCTCCAGGCTAAACATAAACACATCTGCAAAAATATGGCCTACAGCTCAAAATGGCAAAGAGGTATTCTGAGGAGAGTGTCTCCCAGCGTTAGGATAGGCGAGACATCCTTCTCCTCCAGCTTCTCCTTATATATATACATGGCTGAGTGGAATTAGGAACACCTGGGCAGAGGCGGAGCCAGGGGCAGACCAGGTGCACCTGGGCAGAGGCGGAGCCAGGGAGACAGAAAACAAGGAGGGGGAGCACTTAAACACAGAAGAGGTTTCTCAATACTCAAATTTCCCCTCCTCGACTCCTCGGTCCTCCGGTAGTGACCCGGAAATGAATTTCAGCAAGCCATTTTGAAGGACATCTCATTTCTCTGAATGCACTTCGAGGACCGAGCATCGAGCATCGAGGAGGTTCTCTGGAGGAGCTCTAACCGAGGAGACACTGATGCATCCTGCACGGCTCCTCCACGGATGTATTTCCGGGAACAGTGGAGGCGTGACGCACAGCCGGACTTATCTCAGCCAATGACAGCTCTGCATGCATCCCTTGGATATTATTTTAGTAACTGTCTGCTTACATCGCAA